TTATGTAAGCATCGAGATTTAGCAAATAGATGTCCAAGCATTTCTGCTAGCTATGAGAAAAATCGTTGGGTTTAGATAATGTTATTTTGGTTATAATCCTAATCGAGCCGATTTTTAAAATTGATCCTAATCAGAATTTTTAACAAAATTAACAATCACTCACTTGATTATCACTTCTTTTTCTTTCTTTTGGAGGTGGGAATCTTCTTGTGGCTTTTACGCCCGTATGTGGACGCTGCTCTCGAGGCGCGTCCTTTTTGAAAAAAGTACCTGTTGAGGAAATTTCAATTTTCTCGGAGCCCATATACTATTATTGGTATAACGTATAGTGGGCTCTTTCTATGGGCCGATTCAATGGATGGCCATAGCATGTATTCTTTCTGTCAAAGCGTCACAGGATGCACCTGACGACCTTGCGGATATGTTTAAGTTAATGGCGATCTCGTTTATTGGCTTTGCATTTTAGTTTTCGCAGATAAGATATAAGGCCTTTCATTAGCTTTTGAAGATTGAATATTTAATCAGCTGGTAAGGGCGGAAATATGAGCGCACCTGTTGGTGTGCTTGCGAATCTGGCTCGGGGAGTAGATTCACCGCCCGTTCTTATACTGAATCGATCATCGAGATCGTCTTCGAACTCTGAACCAGACAAAGGCTGGGGTTTGCACGTTTTCACGATATTGAAGAGGGCTTCTCATATGTTCGGAAAAGAAATTTTGCCCGCTGGTAGAGCATGAGGTAGCAGAGGAGCGGATGTAACTTTAGCGTCCATACGTAATGTGAGAGCGGTGATGGCAACATAATTAATTATATAAGATAGATAACGAGGATGCTAATTTTTGGCCATATCTTCTTTATCTGGATGGCCACCTGGGTTTTCGGGTTGGTTGCAAATAGGAGGGGCCTGACCGTCCTGGTCTCGTGCTTTAACCATTTAAAGTTATATTCAATAGAAAAAGTAGTAAATTTTGAATAAAAGTGGAAGCCTTGCACATAATAAAATAGTAATAAAATGGCTAAATCTAATTCAAGGTTGTAAAGTTCTTATTTTATCTTAAAAGCAAAAAATTAATTGATAATAAAATTCATTTACAATTTTTAGCTGCATTTCTTTTGTAATGCTTTCAATTACAAATAAAGCATTCTAAAATAAAAAATATGTTCCATATCTAAACCGTTGTGCGCTCATAAATCTACTAACGATTCAAAATCTACATATTACACCTTTATTTAAAACATTGCTAGTAAAAACTACAAATGGCATTCCCCTATTTCTATTGGATGCTCTGTTTTTAAGAACCAATTAGAAGGAATTATTGGAATTATAAATGTATAATTGTATTAATATGTATAAATTCTATTTGTAAAATATTTTAATGAGACCTGGAGGGGTACCATTTGCATGGCCCGCTCGGATTTTTTTAAAAACTTTTTCGGCCAGGGCCTGCTTGGGTTTTATATTTTCAGGCAAGGCCAGGATTTTTTTTAAAAAATATTTTCAGGTCCGACCCGGATATATTTAAAAAAAATTAAAATACGGCCGACTAGTGTACCCAGGCTGGGCCGGGCCTGTAGGTCAATTTTCATGATAAAAAATATTAATAATATGCTAAAATACCATTATAAGTAAAAATCAAATTTTTTGGTCCCCTATTTTTTTCAAAGGGCATACTAAATTATCTCTGTAATATAATTTAATATTTAGGAAATTAATAATACATTTTTTTTAATTAGTACATAAAATATTAAAACATAGAACGCCTAATGGACCTTTTAGCGTGTTATGGGTCTCTTTTTTTAAAGACTTTTTTTATAGAAAAATGTTACCTATGTAAATAAATAAAAATACATCATCAATTATGTTAATTTTACCAGATTCTTCCATTATATAATCAACGGCAATAATTTGTTGTCAATTTAAAACTAACATAATTTTCAAAAAACCCACAAGAGTTTTACTAGTATTCGTGGCTTTAGCTAAACTCGTAGCTTCTGGTTTCTTCATAAATAGTTTTTTTAAATTAAAAAATGAATGCCTGTTTAAAAAAGGTTAATACATACCCGGGCAAACCCCACTTCAGGTAATAACATTTAATTAAAAGTTAAGTTTGAGATTTCAAATTAATATATATATTGTCAAAATTTTATGTATGCTATAATTGAGATTTAATTTAAAAAATTTATAAAAATTTTTAAAATGCTTAAATATTAAAAGTTATTTTTGTAGTGTTAAAATATATATTTTAATTTGCATTAAATAATTTTTAGGATAAATTTCTTCTGCGAAGTGAAAATTGAAACATTCATTACAATTCATTTAAAAATAATAAGGCCTGGTCCTGATCCACCTTTTTTACGCTGCGATTGAACCTAGTCAATGATATATAAATACTACTAAATTTTCGCGATTCATTCTTTAAGTGCACTTAACTGCATACATGGGAGTTAACCGCAGCGCCATTTTATGGTTTGCACATCGATTAAATGACATTAATATGAATTCTTATAACGATAAATACACTACTAGTCAACATGCAAGTCACAAAATGGCGCTACAGCTGACCCCTATTAAACACTTTTAAAATGAATCGCCAATCTAGTAATATATACACATCATTGGGCACAGTAATCGAAATTCACATTTTTAAATAATTAGTTTCACTGTTTTATAATAATAGATTTCACAGTTTTTAAATAGATTTGTTCAGCTTTTGATTCATGTTTTAACAGTTTCAAATAAAATTATTTTTCAGTTTTTGTTAGATTTTACCAGAGACCTGCAGGGCCGACCCGTGTACAGCCGAGCCATATATTTTAAAACCGAATATTTTAAAACGCCATCATTAGCTATAAAAATTAATTTAATATATTCTAAAATAATTCGGGTCGGGCCTATAAATATAAATCCGGGCAGGGCCGAAAGTATTTTTTTTAAAAATCCGGGCCGGGCCGTAATGGTACCTCTGCAAGTCTCTGGATTTTACTAAATGTAGTGGGTTTGGTGTCTAATAAATTTAGTATTTCTCCTTATCTAATATAAGCACTAACCTTATCTTTGTTTATAAATTAAAATAATATATATATTTTACAAGGTGTAATGCCTTTGATAAAATTTGGGGGCTTTTAAAGCTCGATAAAGCATAGCTATTGACATTCCTGTAAATTTAATATAACATGGTTTTACTCTATGATATTTAATTTAATATTTTATTACGCTTATTCATATTTTAAAAAATAAATAAAATATATTACATTTCATTATATAATAAAATCGTCTGGTATTTTTCCAAAAATATAATTTGAAATGTCAACAAAATGGCCAACAATTAAGAATTTTCATGTCAATGGCGGAGAACAACAAAACAGCCGTGAAGATCGTTGTAATATATCTGAAATAATAACACCTAGTGGTTACATAGTATACATATAATATGCGACAATTATCAACTTTTAACAATTATTTTTAGAATATTGTGGGAATTGTGATTGCCAAATGGAATAAAAGAAGCTTCACAGATAAAAATGGTAAGCAAATTTTATAAATAACTATTTTTTGTTATCTATTGAAATATGACTCCTGGCATTCCTTAAAAATAATTTAAAAATATAAAAATTAATGCAAAAATATAATTTACAAATTGTTTCATCCAGTTAAGCTTTATATAAAAGGATTTAATTAAATTTTTATATTTATTTTATAAAATTGCAATCAAAAAATATTGGTAAGCCTTGAGAATTCGCTAATAGATGTCTAGACTTTTGCACCATTTTTAGCAAAATTCTGGATATAATATTGAATTAGCTGTTTTTAAAAATCGGCTCAGCCGTTTAACACAAATGGTCAACCAAAATCAAATTATAATTTTAATAAATAATTAAAGTATGTATATTTTTTTAAATTAAATATTTTGTATAAGTAAAGTAATAAGATAGACCTCGTTTATAATAAACGCGATTTGTTCAATCGGTGCGGTATTTAGCACTGTCAAACCAATAAATAGGTAAAATTTATAAATATGAAGCGAAACGATGAAAAAGCTATGATAAAATTTGAAGAACATATGTTGCGAGGTAAATTATCATCCCTATTATAAATCAGCATGATTTAGATAGCATTAAATATCGCACCGCTTAAATAAAACGCGTTTATTATAAATGCAGCGATAGTCTTTTAAATTTAGGTTTAAAATATTTAATGATCAATACTATAATGTTTTTTATTATAGTATTACAGACCGTATGATTTTATAAAACTAGGCCAGTTAGAAAAATAAATTATAAACCCTAGTCAAGTCTAAATATTTTTTTTATTGAGGGTAAAATATATTTAAATTATACCAATTAACTAATTGGAAAAAAAGCAAACAATGAGCCATTTAAGATTCATTTACTGCTCAAAATTTTCGATTTTTTGTTGAAAAACTTTCAAAATAAAGCCAAATTTATTAAAAATTGATCAAAAATTCACCAATCCGAGCCGGATAGTTAAATAATCAAAACCTTAGAAATTCGGGTCGGGTTTAAAAATAAAAAACTGGTTCTTGAAGGATTAAAATTTTTTTTTAAACATATCCGGTTCGAACTCACCAATTTGACCTCTACAGACCTCTGGTATTTATTATTATATTCATCAATTGTTAAAAATATTGGAGCCAATCCCGTTTTTGACCAATCACATATGCTTCATTTATAGTAAGGGCGATTCGCTCATAATGAATTAATGAATAATGAAATCACAGCTGATTCATCACAACTATCATACTTTTTGAAATAGATATAAACAACTGTCGCGATTATCATATCGCTCAGTATTTATAAATTATATATCTACTATTAGCTTGATAAAAATTACGTAGCTAATATTTTCGTATAGCTTGAGCAAATTGCGTTTGCCATAAATGCAGTCCTATGATACTACCTAGATATACTATTTATTTATATTTATTTAAATGTCATACAAATCAGCTGGTGGCACGCTATTTTGATTTACCATATAAATAATTTACATTAAAAAATTTAAAAAAATTCATAGCTTCATTTATTTATAAAAAAAAGTTTAAATATGAAACCAAAATGGCTTGTTACTGGCTGATTTTTATTCTACTATCATGGGTAAATATTATATGCCATTACTTTAAATTAGATTTTAAATATTTCCATATTAAAAAATTTAATTTGTTTTACTCTGTCTAGGAAATAGTCGGTTTTGCTATAGTTTTCTCGTAAGAGATACCCCAGATGATTTTATAAATGTGACGTATTGGGGATCATCCGAAACAAATGACACCGCGTCTTCTAGGTTTAAAATAGGTGATCTAGGTAATAGCAGCTTTGATTATATTAACTTTTCCATTTTTTGTAAAGAGGCAAAAATATATTAGTATTATGATCCGTTTTCTCAGTTTAATTGAAAAACTTGTTTCGATAAATTTTATACATTAGCGAAGGCAAGGAGTTGGGGTCAACCCTCCCCCCTCCCCCCTTCAAATGTATAATTTAATTAAGTAAAATTTTGTGTTTTTATAATACTTTTTATTACTATCTAGATGAAAATTTCCATTCATTTTTCTTATTAAATTGATATAACCAGCTCTTTAAATTTCTATAAAAAAATCTCAGAAATTTCTACTTCTATTTTATAAAAAAGTGCATGAAATATAAATCCCAAAAGTTCTACGAATATACAATATTATAGGCATCTACATTTTTTACATCAAATTTTCACTTAAAAATTGGTTCATAAAAAAAATGAAAAAATGTGAGGCTTCACAGAGATACTATGATTCATTATGGGTGAAGTTTGACCTTTTTTAATTCCCAATAAAAGTGCACCTAGTATTAGTATTATTTTATTTTAAACTAAAATTTCTACTAGTTATTCACATATTGGCCTTAACGAGTTTGGAAAGCTTCATATTCTAGACTGCCTATTTAAATCGTAATATAATCAAAAAAAATTAAAAAAATTTATTACACTAAACAGATATCATATATTTGCTCACCAAATTAGTACTTCTCAAATTTTTACCCTAGAATGATGTCAATATTTGCAATTTTTACTTATTTTGCTAATAATGCGTTTTTTCTTTAAATTATCTACACACAAGTTGAAGCACTAAAATAAAGTAACACTAATTATTGACATGAGTTTTTTGATTTAATGCTTCCATAAGTTTAGCTGACTTTATACTTAAGGCATGAGATAAAAACTTTTATTTGGCTCATAACTCAGTTATTTAATTTGTGGTTGTCAAAGAATAATAAGTCACATTCAATATTATCATGAACCCGATCCTTACTTCTTTTATATTTCCTAATTTTTTTCTTTATACTGTCTACCCAACGGATTATTAGTATATATATACAATTAAACACTAACAGTGGCCTCTACAACGGGGGTGTGGGGGGTAACGAAGCAACTGCTTCTTAAAAATTTGTAGGGGGGGTGGGTACTCTTTTTTGGGAATTTTTTAATTAATAAATATTGTATCCCTATGATGATGGGGGTACTTTTTTAAATTATTTGTATTTTTAAATTTTTTAAAAATATTTTATAGGTTCTCAAATTATATATATATACAAAAAAAATGAATAAAAAAGAAGGGATATCAAAATTGATTAAAATCCAAACTATATTCCAATTATTTATTTGATAATTATATAATGCAAGTGGGGTGGTCTTGCACTGAGAATTTTCTTTCTTTCTTTCTTGATAAAAGTCTCGGAATCTGTAGTTAAAAACGGTCTTGAGATACAGATACGACGATAATAGTATTTATTTAAAGAAAAATTTTATTATCTAAAGAAAATTATTTTATTCTCTTTTTTTTCATTTAAAATACATACATATATATATATATGTATCAAAATTAAATATAATTTAATCTAACTAAATGTCCAATTTACATATCACGATCTACAATTATTGCCTTAAACATTAAACATTTAAATGGACATGTATATTAACACTTTAGATAATAATACATAAAGAAATATATTGTAATATGACATTAATGCCTTTATAAAACATTAAACTTTAAATTGAAATAAAACATTATTATATATTATATGTTACTAACATTATATAAATTAATTACTTTGGAAAAATCGTTATAAAAAAAATTCAAAAGAAATTGAATCTAGCAAATTCTTTTCAATTATACTTGATGGTATACATGATATTTCGAAATCAGAAGCAATAGCTTTTTTAGTAAGATATATTGAAAATGATAAATGACTAAGTCGTTTGAAAGATTGATATTTATATTATACGAGTAAACTTGGCTTGATATTAAAAAAAATATAATATGCAAATTTAGTTCCATGAATCCTCGAATTCTAGTTGGGCAAAGCTATGACGGCTATCAAACATGAGTGAAACGATCAGTGGAGTTTAGACTTTGACTTTGATTAAAACTGAGGCAACAAATGTAGATTTTATTTGGTGCTATTGTCATTGATGAAATTTATTCATTATTCAATTATGACATCGATAAAAGAACTAAAAATTTTTTAGGGATCTTAGAAAAGATTCACGTGTATTTCAATGATGTTAAAAGATATGCAGTGTTTCAAGCATGTCAAAGTGATGTAATGAGAAAATAGCAACGATTTTTACGCATCAAGAATATCACTCGGAAATTTAATTAAATTTGATTAGATTTTAAAATGTTTATTTTATATTTTTTTTATAGAAGCTGGTTATCATTAAATATAGCTATTGTAAATTTTTCTATACTTCATGTTGCCTAAAGGGCAGCTTAAGCAAATTTAAAGGATTCTGAAGATCCTGTCACTTCTATCATGGCTAGTGCTATAGCTTTTAGAAAAGAAAAATTTTATTTTATCACTTTGCGTTTTGGATAAAATATTGTTGATAACAAGCTTGGCTTGTACAATTGCTCATGTCGATTAATGTTTACAATAAATTAAATTCAATTGTCAAAATATTACCTGATAAATTTGAATGATGGCTTAAAAAGAGGATGTAATTATTACATATGATTTATAGGTTAAAAAAAACTAAAGACTTGTCAAATTCTGAGAATTGTAAATTTATTTATTAAAATATTTATATTATTTAGCTTCTTCTACTGATGTTGATGATTATGAAAATTGTGATTCAGACTTGGAAAACTATTCTTTTATTTTATATTAACGTTTACTTTTTAATTTTTCTGATTTTTCTAATTTGTCAATTTTATATAAATATTTATCAACTATTCCTGCCATCTCATGTACCGCCGAATGGGTCATGAGTAAAATTAAACTAATTAAGGCAAGACTACGTAGTACCAATAAATATTTTTTTCTAAATAATTTAACCATTTTATTAATGGAATAAAATTTATTTAAACAATTAAATATTGACGAAATTATAAATTCTTTCTCTTCCCCTAATGTGTCTAAATGATTAATTTAAAGAAAATATTTTTGGGTTATATATTTTTTCATTTTTATTTATAATATATATTAAGGATAAATCAATAAAATTTTTTATAATTTATAATTGAGGTTTGGGAGTCGAAAAATATTTAACTGCTTTTTTTGAAAAAAAATTCAGGGGGGGGGGGCTATTTTTTAGTGGTTCTGCTTTTATTGTTCAGAAAGTGTAGAAGCCTCTGAGTATTAAACTTAAAAAATTTTCAAAATAAATGCTTTCAGTCTCTTTTTAATTGTAAGGTTGAGCCAATATTTTGTTGCTAATAACTTTTCCTTCATACTGCCTTTGGTTAAAGCACTCATAGATACTAATAAAAAACGAATCATTGGCATTGATTTTAGAATGGATGCTTTCAATTGTTCAGCCATTTTAACAGACGGGGGGGGGGGATAAATAATCAAAATTTTTTTAAAGGATGGATTTAGCTGAAGGGCAGGCAAATGAAGGTTTCAAAAAATGTGATTCTCCCCCCTTCCCCACATACATAAATCATAACTACACCACTGCAAGTTCAAAATATAGTCTTATATTCAAATCTTTAATATATATTTTTTACAAACATTTTAGTGGACATATTGTGCGCAGAAATCGAACCTAAAACGGAAAACTTTACCGAATTCAAATATAAACCGTGGACACCAGTGTAATTTTTTTAAAAATATAAATTAAATACCATTGAATATAGTTTGATAAAAATGAGTGAAATTTGAGGGTGCCATTTTTAAAATTTGTGGGTAATCGGATCGTGGGTGTGAAATTGGAATTGGTTTGGTTTTATATTTTTATTTTTGTCATTTAATAAAAAAAATAAAAAATATAAATATAAAGTTGCGTATAAAAAAATATTTTTTGTTCTTTTTTTACTTTTCTTCTTTTAAAACATCGTAGTCCCAATATATCCTTCCTTTGTGTTGAGAAATAAAACTGATTTCTTCCATTAATCTGGAGAATCTTTATAATGGTAGTCCATACGGAGACCTAATATAAAATCGTCGGTAAGGCGATAGGTTAATAGGTTTTTCCGACATGCACAGTAGTTTCAATTTCAATAATATTATTAGTTAATTTATACGTTGTTTATTTTTTAAAGAAAACATCATATGATCAGCAAATGAAAATATACAATTTTTTTAAATTTACATCTAATAATATACTGTAGTGCTAAAAACTGATATTTGGATTATTATAAAATTTGGATTAAAAATGAAAAGCAAGTTAATTTATGATTAAATAATGATTTGAAAGAATGGTCTATTTTTTTTATAAAATAAGATTAAAATTTACATTAATGTCATTTAATTTAACGTAGTCTTACAATGTATCCGATTTTTTAAATAGACAAAAATTAGAGATTGATTCTGGTTCAGGCTTATGAAAAATATAATACATATTTAAGAATCCATTTTAAGGTTAGAGATTTTTGTAAAAAATAAAACTAAGGGTTTTATTCCGATTGTTTGAATTCGTTTTCTAAAATTTTACAAGAAAATAGATCAGTAATTTTAATGAAACTGGAAACCAATCCAAATCCACCCATAATATCATTTTTTGTATTTGTTCCGCTAATTCCACTTTTTTCAAGATGACCTTTAAAATATTTTACCAAATTTAAAAATTTCTTTTTTTATATGTTTGAAACAGAGTATTAAACACCTCTGAACCATTATAAAAAAAATTTGCAAGAAGAGAACCGTCATAAATACCTTCGAGCCTGTTTTAATCAATTTATAACGGTTTTTGAAATTATATTTATTCTCTTTGAATTGATGAACAGAATTCAAAATATTATTATAAAAAAAATACGTTTAAAATTATGTGCCAACAAAGATTAATATAAAAAAAATTCATAACCTATAAAAATCGTAGCAAACTGTAAAGAACCTGAAAGAACCGATTATGTATTTATAAAAAGAAACAAACCGAGATAAATTTTTAAAAAATAATCGGAATGGAACAACCCGTGTTTTAAAATTTTAAACTAAGAAATCGGAATGGAGGTGACCTGTTATATCTATCGCTTCGATTACCCTATTTGAAATTTTTATAAAAGATATCTTAAATTTAAAATTGACAAGGAAAATTATGGGATTAATGTATAAATTAGAGTTCAACTGCTCGATTTAAGCCGATCTATAAAAACGACTAACTTAGTATCAGTATTTTAGTCAGAAAAAATATGCCTAAGCTTCGAGATTTCGATGTAAATATCCAAATTTTTGTGCCATCTATGAGTTAAATCTTTAGGATTGTGCAAAATTTTTCCGGATAAAATATTGAGCCTACCGTTTTAAAATCTAAATATATATGAAAATTTTAGTTCATTCCACCTTAGCATAAAAGAAAAGCAAGGACAAATTATAACACTTAAGGAAGACTATTATAAGTCTCAGTTCCCTAACTCTCACTGTAGCCAAAGTATAGCCATAAATCCAAACATCATTAAATGTCCTAATAAGCCTGCCACCGATTGTTACACTATTTCAGAAATCTTAGCAAATAGCGATGATTTGGTTAATGTCGAATCTCTGAATTTATTAGGGATAGTTAAAAAGGTACTCATTATTTATCAATTAATATTTTTCTATAATAAATGCGTTATAATGCAACTCTATTTTTAATGGGTGATAATATTTGGACCATTCATTCATATTAAAGTTATAGATGAACGAAGGTTCAAAAAAAGTACCCATTAAACTAATGATATAATTAAAATAAAGTAAGAAATATAATTTTTTTAATGTGGACGTAGTCTTGAAAATGTAAGTCCGCCAAATGGTCTTATATTCCAATAACATATTATCAGGCACATCCCTAGCTTTTATCAAAAGGGGGTGCTAAATATTTTTTTAAACTTAATTTCATATAGTAATATTAGGCCTTCCTATTCTGCCGGATTTATGTCCATAGATTTATATCTTCTAATATAATTCATTATAATATATACATATTCGCTAGTAAGAATAATATCTAACATAAATGAAGAATCTTACTCAGATGTTTTACCCTGATCTGATACAATAAAAAAAATCTTAAATAACTAAATCTAATAGTTTGTATCGTTTAAATTTTCTTATCAAGATAATAATTGAGGAAGTACATTGAATATTTAAATTGTTATTTGGTTTAGTTTGTTTGATGAGTAAAATCATATTTGAAAGGAAAAAATTATTTACACAGCCTCAATATCTTTTGCATTTTACCTTATTCATACAACCTGGACTATTTAATGTATTTATATTAGGATGTTGACTTATACTTTGTGGGGTCTATCGAAGTTGCTTGGCCTCTCTGTCATTTATCCATCACTTTTGATTGACAAATTTTTTTTAATATCAAAATTGCATAACTAGATGTTCGAGCCGAAGAATTTGACATTAAAATCTAATTCCGAAAGCAAATTGAAATGCGAAATTATCGTGTGCGACGAAGCGCATCAAAGTTTGATGATAGTAATGTATGAGATTTTGATATTAAAAAAAATTTATTCATATTCTTTTTTTTAAAAAAAAATAAAAATAAATATTATTTCTAGTTTAGAATTGGCTTTACTTTTTTAAACTGAATCTGAAATAGTGTTATATTGTCCTCATTTTCTGCCCCTTGGTTCTCATAATGACTTAGGATCTCTCTATCATAAATCATTTATGAGAACAATTGAAAAATCTAATTTGTACCTTAAATGTAATTCTAGTATGTATAGAGTATACCTACCCTTTAAATATTCAGACAATTTTGGGTCGTAATATTTGTTTAATTATTATATAAAAAAACCAGATTTTGGAATGATTTTCAAATTAAAAATTTTAACAGGATGTGTGTTCCTGGTTCGAACTTATTTTTGATACTTACTTCTGTTTATACTAGGCTAAATATAGCTTTTGAAACAAGGACACTCTGTTTTGGTTTGTTTTAAGTGTTTGTGGCATTGTTATTTTTTGTATTTTTTTTTCTCGCTTTTTCTCTCTATAACACTTAAAGTTGTTTAGTCGAAGACAGCTGGCTGTTTTAGTAATAAGTCGAACTAGGACACACCCTCTAAGATTATTTTAAATGAAGATTGATCAAATTTCACTTAAAATTCTTATTCTTTATTTGTAAAATATCTTCAAAATTTTGGGTAAAAAAATTTTTTTAAAAAATCTGTATGAAGATTAATATAAATTAATTAGTAATTAGTGCTCACGGCAAAATTGTCTGGATTTAGTAATGGCCTAACCCAAGGAATCAGTAACCATATAGAATGTTTAACGATTTTAAAAAAACGTTCCTAAAATAATCGCTAACAACCTTTATTTTAATAAGTCTATGTTTATAATGATTTTAAGGTTACATATTTCATGTATTTATGAAATTTTAATTCGCATACAAATATAAATTGCAAGATATAAAATTTTTCAAAAAGATATAATATAAAAATAATTAACGATTTAAAAATTCATATATAATGAATGTAAAATTTAATAAATTAAACAATTTTTATAATAATAAATATATAATAAAAAAATTAAGTAATAAGAAAATTTCCTCAGGATGAAGCATTTTTTAAAAATTTAATTTGTGCGGTTTAATTTACAACAGAATAATACGAATATATATTTTATATTATAAAATGATATAGATTTAAAATTGATGAAAAAGATTTTTCATCTTTTTGGAAGAATATATAAATTGATAAATTATAAAATGAAAGAAATGTTAAAAGAAACTCCATATAATTAAGAAAATATATATCTTTATATAAAAAAAGGAAATTATGTTTTATATAATCAAAAAATAATTATTTTCCTAAAACTACAATATTTTTAAATTTAATCATTCTTTTCTATCAAAATGATGAGATGAAATGTTTTTATCTATCTATTTTTAATTAATATTTGCAAATAAATAAGGGATCCTAATACCTGATTATGCTCTTTAAAAAATTCTCTTTTAACTGCATTGGTTCACTTACTTTTTATTATTAATTGGAAACCTAGATAATTTTAAAAAATGATAATCATTTTTATTCAAAGCCACATCCTATTTTATATACAGTGTTGTGATGATTTAATGAAATATATTGACGATTTAATTAAAACACATGCATATATAATTATAATCTTTACACATGTACAACAAAAGAAATAATAAAAGAAATTTCAATAATGCTTTATCTATATTTTAATTATTTTTGCAAATATTATCATTTTATATGAATGGGTTTGAATTTAATCGTCAATATGTTTCATTATATCATCACAACACAACACTGTAATAATAAAGTGATCAGGAATAAAAATTTTAAAAGAAAAGGAAGTCGGAGAGATATTATTATATCTGCAAATTGAAAAATAGTAAAAAAATATGTATGTTAAAAAAAATATATTAATTAAAATTATTTTTACTTATGATGCTATCATAAAAATCACCCATATCTTTTAATGCTATAATTCATTCAAATTAATAATTAAAGAAAATTAATTGGCAATATATTTTTTCCGGCAATATGTTATTTTTCAACTTTATATAATTTTCGAGCTCTTTTTAAAAATTTAATTATCTGATTTTACCGGAAATGTATAGCATATGGAACACCTACTTTATGAATTCCAGATAATTTTGCCCTGAACTTTTAAACTTACTATAATTTATATTATTTTTTCCATATGTTTTTTATTTAAATAATTATAAATGATTCAAAAGTTAGCGGCAAAATAGTCTGGAATTCATAAGAAAGGAATTCTAAGCATGTCCAATAAAAACCAATTTTTAAATAAAAAACGCACTCAAAAAATTATTTAAAGTTGAAAAAATAACACATTGCCGGACAAAACACTTTACCACTATCATTACTTACAATTAAATTGTTATCTTAATATAGTATTGCATTTTGAATTAAAAAAGGTATTGTATTAAAATAAACTTATCTCTTCCATTGAAATTGCCATATGTATAGGTCATTTAGATTTAGTTTGTAAATATTTTGTTAATGGAAGAATATCCTGTAAAAACACATTTATTTAATTGATAAATTTAAATATGATAATTTATAGATGTTGGATAAAAATATTCATTTGAAAAATGTGTAATGTAGAGACATCAGTATTTGTTTGGTTACTTTTGACTGCATTGGTCCATTTACTTAAAAGAGCTTTATTGTTAATTGGAAACTTAAGTTATTTAAAAAAAATAATCATCATTTTGATTCAAAACCACATACTATTCTAAATAATAATAAAGTTAGGAATAAAAATAATAGAAAAAAAATCAGTATTAATATTATGTCTGTAAATTAAAAATAGTAAAAAATAATATTAATTAAAATTATAGAGTTATATTTTTACTCATGATATTATATATTATAATTCAGAGTTACCTTAATTTTTATTATATAAAGATTGTTAAAGGTTTAAGAAAATTTAAGAATGTATTATTAGTAAAAACAAAAAATATATAAATAAATTCTCACTCATATGGAAAAGATACATCCTTATTTTTTTTGAACAAACAACACTTTTACATGAATTTTAAATTTATGTCATTTTATTTTATATTACAAAATATATATTCATATTTGGTTGTAATTGAGCCGCTATTTTTTTTATATAAAAAAAATATGCAAATCAAATTTTTTAAATGCTATATCTAGCGGGAATTTTTTTGTTACTTTATTTTCTTATCAATATAAACGTAAAAGTCCTTCAAAAATGTCCTTATAATACTAGCAAATCTTTACTCTTTATCACTTTACAAAGTTCACGAATTTTATTAACATATTTAAATTGATAAACAATTTTTTTCCCCTTATGACCATTTTTGCCACATATTTGACAATTAGATAAATTATTATTTTTATTAATCAATAAAATATTCATCCTTATTAAAAAGAATATGATGGAGTTATGAAAAAATACAAAAAGAACTTACTTTCTATAAAGACTTTCAAAAATTATCGTAAAACTTACCTCTCAAAATTACAAGGAAATTTTACCTTAAAATTTAAGACAATCAATATAATTCGACACTTCAAAAGTTTATATTTTTATTGAATTTTGAACATGAAATAAATCAAGAAACAAAAATAATTTCAAATCCAAAAGAAAAATTGATAATTCGGAAAAAAACTTGATAAAAAAATCGTAAAAAAAATTAATAATGTTTCAAGCATAAATTAATAATGAATATCTTCATTTTACAAAAAAAAGATAATCATCAAAATGTCAATCATTGATAATATAAAAAAAATATTGATTTTAAAATGAAATATGTTACAAACTAGGACAGGTCATCCCTTTATGGGCCAACCAGTGACATTCCCTACGAAAATTTAAATATATAAATATTTATAAGAATTAATGTTATCCATATAAACAACAAAAAAAAATTACAATAATTTTCTTTATTCTTTGATATTCCAGGTTCTTTGTCTCCACCATTGAGCATCAAGTTCTCCCATGCTTGAATCTGCTGGTCTATGGGAGAGATGTAGTTATCGTGTTCCTGATCCATGGTCTGGGTTGATCCTTGATATTTACTGTTTGCTGGATTATTCATATCTTGTTCCTTTTTTTTATCAGGATATTTGTTTTCTTTCTGTCCATTATTCCCTTGATTAATCATCATGGACCAATTTTTAATAAATTTTTTATTGTTATTATCCTTTTTCTTACTGGTTTTGTGAAACGCTGCTCCGGAAGGACACTTTGAATCAAGTGTTCTTCAGAATTACATTTAAAACACCTTTTAAAAATTTCAGTAACGTTGTTCACAGGCATCATTCCTCCCATAGAATTGGATGTATCAAATCTCATTCCCATATCCTTGGGAATGATGGTTATTTGTACAAAGTGACTTTTAAAACTTATCAATTGCGATTGCGTCTCCATGATATGATAGGACAATTTTATTTAAGTTAATAGAACATTTTTCAAAAAAAATTTATTTATTAATTTTATTTTAAATTCATACCTTTTATATTAAAATAAATACTTAAACATATTGTATCAAACATGGTAAAAATTATTAACTTTAATTTCAAAAACAAAAACACTTTTTAATATGACATATTGTAACTATTTATCTCAAAACACTTTTCTTTTCAATAAAAATGGTCAACAATAAAATAGTCATTTTATCCGTGGTATACACAATTTATATTTCTGTTATTTTTAATAAATAACATTAAAATTACATTTCACTTATATATAACTTCAATCAAATCTTTTAATTTCTCTAATTCTTTTAGTATAACAACCGATATTTCCAGACATTCTGAATGTATTAATATTTTCATTTAATTTTTTAACCATATTTCACCATGATTAATTTAAAGTTACCTTAAATTACTTTACAAATCCATTATTTTATCCAAATAATTGTTTTATAAAGAGGAACCTTTATTCAAATCATTAGATATTTTTTTTAAATTTTTCATTTGTTCCTTCAGTTTATATTTAATTCACAATTAATAAGTGAAATTGGAATTTTAAAATATAAAAATGGATATCTATGATTTTATAAGTGATTCATACGACATTTAATATTTTATTCATTAATTTATATTTGATTATTAAAAATTGTCAATATTTTAATAATTACAAAAATAATATTATTAGTTAATGGGATTTACCAACAAAAACATTTTCATTAAAACACAAAGTTTTGTCTAACACATTCGTAATTATCAGATTTAAACATGATTTTTTTGAAATTTTTTTAGTTATTATATTATCATTAAATTCTTTATTAAGAACTTTATAATAAAAATCTTTATGGAGTAAAACTTTGCTAAATAAATTATAATTAAAATTAAAAACCATCATATAGTTTTCTTTTAAATCACTTTACAAAAATTTTTTAGTTGCACTTGTGGTTTATATTATTTCTAGATGTATATTAAAAAAAAAATTTTCCGTTAGATTTTGGCAAGTCACACTTACTTAGGCTAAGAATCCTGGTCAGTCCGGTATCAATTTCTAACTCTATAACTTCTTACTTTCTTAATATTTATTAATTATTTTATCTATAACTCGGGTAAATCATTTTTTTATTATAATACCACAAAAATATAATGAATTATTTTTAATAATACAAAAATTTTCTCCATTAATTCATAATTTTGCGTATGATCCAATAATCAAAATCAGAAAAAAAGAATTATAATATAATAATACATATTAAACTTCATTATTATTATTTATTTCCTTCCAATCAACCATAGATAATATTTGTTGATTGTCGGCTATGTTAAAACTAACTATAATTATATATTTAATAAAATTATGCAAGGCTGCGACACTTATTATATATTATTATTATAAAAATTGTTTAAAATATATTTAATTTTCATCATTCATTAAAATATGAATTTTTAAAAAATAATTAATTTTTTTTTATTATATTTTTTTGAAAAATGTTATATCTTGCAATTTATATGCGATTTAAATAAAAAATAAAACAAATTCATAAATACAATATAATATTTAACGTTAAAATCTATAAATAGAGAATTATTAAATTGAATGATATATCTAAAATGGCTGCCAAATGAACAATGTTTTTATAACATTATAAAATTGGGCATTGAGCAGTCCATGTAAATATTAGTCTATGTCCACAACTCAAATAAAATTTTGATTTAAAAACGATTAAAATTTACAGTAAATTAAAATACTATAAAAAAAATTAAAATATGAAGCAAAGTTAAAGTTAAACATGTATATAGGATTAAAAAGGTTAGAAGGATCTGGGTTTAAAAAGAAATTTTAATAATTTTTATTAATAAAATGTCAAATTTGACAGGTCATATGATTATGAATAATTTCCTAGACTATAATTAAATTTTAGTGTGAACTTTGTGGAATACATCCGGCCAAATCCATATTTTTCAAATTTAAAAATGACCCTCAGTAAAATGATTTAAAATTGAGATTCAGAAATCCCAAAACGACATATAAGTAAATATATTAAATATAAAATCGATAAATAATTTAGATGGGAAGAAGCGATCATCGATTGGGTGATGAAATGGAAGTTCGATATACCATTGAGTAATCAAAAAAATATATTGGATATAATTGTCTGATATAATTTATTAATCTCTATTTTAAGTGCTGTTTGCTTCGGATCTTCAGTTAAAGTTCAATACTTTTAGAAAAGCCTACGTGCTAAATACCACGCATAAAACGGTTTTCACCTTTGATCCAGGTCTTCAATCAAAACCAATTTTTAAATATATATTTTTTAAGAAAATGATGCATTATTTATAAACTCTTGTTTAGTGCTGTTAAACGGCTCAGCATTTAATCACGACTAATCCAATATTTTAGCCAAAAATATTACGCAAGCCTGGAGATTTTGCTCATAGATGGCAGAAAGGTTTGGACATCAATTAACAAAATTTTGAAGCTTGCCTAATATTAATTTAGCAAAAATCTTAACTTAAAATAGGTTAAATCTAGCCGTTTAACAATACTACTCTTGTTAAAATTATCAGATATACCAGAATACAGAGATAAATATCTCAACCTCATCAAGGAAGGCTCCTTAGTAAATGTACACATGTTTATGGAGGATGAAGATGATGAAATAGTTACGGATATAAGTAAGTTCGTGGAAATACCCACTGTCATACAGGTTAATTTAATTTTAAATGTTTTGCTAATAATCTCCCTTTTACATTAATAGTTGATTAGTATCGTAGATAAGCGTTTCGAAGATAGTTCGCTGATAAATCAATCGGATCTGCGCGAAGTTTACATATTTTAATAATACTTACCAATATAGTTTTATTATGTACTTTTTCAGAAAATAAAATAATTTTTCCTTTATTTCCCTTCTGAAAAAAGGGACATTACATGACTTTAAAAAAATACGCCAAATTAGTATGGTTTTTTCTCTTTCTCACTAAATAATTAGAGCGATACGAGTCCAAAATGGGATAAATTTTACTGCGTTTTGAGAGCTCACGTGTCTAATTTTGATATAGACACAGAATTGATGGAAAAGGTGATAGCTTGGAAATGGTAAACTTTAACTTCACGATATTTTTATATAACAAACAACTTTTTATATAAAAAATTTTAAATATTATTAAATCTTCAGGGTCTTTCTTTCTTTCTTTCTTTCTTTCTTTCTTTCTTTCTTTCTTTCTTTCTTTCTTTCTTTCTTTCTTTCTTTCTTTCTTTCTTTCTTTCTTTCTTTCTTTTTTTCTTTTTTTCTTTCTCCGCATTTAGTAAGAAAAAAACAAAAGACGTAGTGAGATTGATCGTATAGTATTCTTTCGAATTAGTGTAATTAGATCTCCTATCTTTAGCTAAGTCTAAAACGGCGTAGCCAAGTTTCTAAACCTAAATAATTTGGCTCGTGAGGTTTAATTCAATAACCTTTTAGGCTAAAAAACAAGAGCCAATATAGTAAATATTATTTAGAATTTACAACTTTACTTGTTATTACATAATTGTTGCTTTTCATATTTGGTAATAACTGCAAGTCATAAAATTTGTCTTTATACTTCTAGGCTATTTTTTAATCTATTTGTTGATATAATATTTAATTACCAGATATTTTTATAATTTGAACTAATTATAATTTCACTTTCTGATTTACCTTTTAAAACCTAAATTCTTTCTCTCTATTCTTTTTTCTTTATCATAACAGACTAAATTTATAGCTAAAACATGGTGACAAAATCGCTAACAATTAATAGCGAATGTATCTAACAATATCCCATAAATATTATCAAACTTCTTTATTAATATTAATGATTTCTAGAGAAAAGATATATAATACAATTAATCAGCTGTTAAATGATTTCGTGACTTGGCGTTTATTTAAAAATTTAGTCTTAATTCCTTTTTATTATATTTTCGATAAAATTTTATTTCAGCCAAATTTGCAATTGCAAAATAAACGAAATTAAGCTGAAAAAATTGTTTCTACAAAAGAACGAAAATGGAAGGCGTGCTAGTGTTATGAAAAAATTATGCACCAACATTAAATGTCAAAGTTATAAAAGTTTCGAGCAAATTAAAGGTATACATAACCATTTAAAAAAATATATGCAACCGCGAAAGAGTACGATGCCGTTCAAGGGATGCATATTACTTCGCTAAACGATAGCATAGTGGTATAATTTAACATTATATAATGTGGAAATTATGCATCACTTGAGCGACATCACAGTATTTCGTAGTTACTATAAACGAGGCCTAGCCCTAGTTCTAAATCTGTTAGTTTTTTACTCTTATATTTCCTTAGCTCTAATCGATTTTTGATGCAGCTGTCTAATAAATAATTATCAAAAAAGGATTAGAGCAATCGAAAGAAAAAACAGCTTTGGACAAGTAATTTTAAATCACCTACATACGACTTAGTCAAACTTCTAAACAAAAAAATTAATTTATCCAAAAAGTTGAATTATCTAACTAAAGATTTATATGATTTTTTTTAGGATGCTAAGCAGTTTTGGAGTTGGCCTTAGTTAGGTTTTAACTTAGTCTAAATAATAATTTATAATTTTGGATGGGCATTTTTTTGCAGGTTTGAAGATTGATGCGAATGATGATATAGATAGTGATGTCTATCCCATTTATAATATTAAAATGAATATCAGCGATTACACTGGGACGCTAGTAAATTGTGGCATAGTTTCTACTAAAACTAGATCTTTAATTGATCTCAAAGTAATTAAAAGATAATAAAAATATTATTTGTAATTTAATTTATGTTTGTTTTAAATTGTTAAAATTAGGAAGAAGAGTTTATTTTAGCTTCTCCAGAGCTAAAAACGATAAAGAAGTGGCAGTATTTGTTCGAACAATTCAACTTTTATATCGTGGTAAGAAATTATTTTATACATATATATTATGGTACTAGCAATGTCTGTAATAAGGTAATGTACGTGTAAATACTTTTGTCAATAGGTGTAATAAGTTTACAGAATTCTATGCAAATTTATAAATGACTTATCCTATAAATTTTAGACAATTTAGCCATGTATTTATGAACCATTTTTAATTTTATTATACTAGAAATAGAAAAATGATAACAACAATTTAGAAATTTTAGGTAAAAATTTATGGGTTGCTAGCTATTTATAGACATCTGCTAAAAAATAATATTTAAAAAAAAATTAGGTATCGCTTAAAAAAAAGCAATAATGTTTTGCTCAAGGTGAACAATAATTTTAGATGTGCTTAATCCTACGCCTAAAGCTGATTTAATTTTCGTAAGTAATAATGTATCCAAAGGCAACTGTTCTATTGGACAGTTATATGTGAATAATTTGCTTATGAGATATAAATCAGGTTTAGATGTACAGCCCCAAAGTAAATGTAGACCTTTTTGTCCCTAACCTCATGTTACTATTGCTATATATTTAATTTTGCATATTCTATTTATTTAATTTTTTAAATTAGGTAGTAGTCGATAATCAATTAAAACCAGTGATCAAGATTATAGATTTTCAAAAAATAAAACAATAAAATGATAATTCAAACATTCTTTTTTTTATTAAAAAAAAATTATATATTTTATTTTAATGGGGATAGATTATTAGTTGTTTCAATTTCAAAATATATATTTTTTCAAACAGATTAATAAAATTATAGCATCCGTATCAATATATATTTAAAATAAAATATAAAAATTTATCAATTTGGTAAAGCGATTTTAATGTTATCATTACTCATTAGTACATTATTACCGTCGTCAATAGATGTAGTTTTACTTTCTAGTTTCCGGCATATAGTTTTGTGTCCTGCATTCCAATGTAATTTTTGGCACTCTTTACTACAATACCATGCCCTTAAACATTGCCCACACCTTTTAAACATGGTCACATTTTTATGGCTTTCTAACGATGACCCATCGTTCGAGGCAATGTCGATATAGGCTCGTTTGTCACAATTAGCGCAGATGTTTTTGTCACCTTCAAATCTTAAAAATATTTAAACGAGTGATTTGAATAATAATAAATTTTATATGACAAAAATGCATTATATTAAGAAATACAAAAATGTGCATATCTTATGTTATACTATATTATTAAAATCATTATGTTATAAATAATCTAAGTGAATAATTTAAAAACGAATCGTCTTACTGGCAAGTTAAGCATTGACAATCGAAATCGTAGGCCCTACTCAGCCATGTTCTCCGCAAACCTTTGGGTAATTCATTATCAATATACTGTATAGTAATTTCCTCTCCAGCCATTATAGGTTTACGACACCTAACAAGGACTCCGAAACCCTCATCACTTCCCTCTCCCTCGCGCATTTTATTATCGCATTTTAAGGCTACTAAATCTTCTACGGTGGCATTAGCGTTGCAATCATGATTCAAACAAGCGTGAAGCTTAAATAAACCGCAAAATGTTTGGTCAGAACAATTGGTCGAGATTGGTTTGCCTATAAGCCGGGAAAAATGAGCCAAATGACTATTGTTAGATCTCAAGTTCTTCAGGAAGTTATTGTAAAGAGTTGAGTTGTAAATCGTCGAATTAAAGCTCTGCACGTTGTTAGCTACTTTATGATATATCAACGCAAAATCATTCAACGAGAGGGTTGCTATAATTAATTTTGAGTCGCCATACGAAGATAACGATTTACACACTATGGCATGTATATTCACGAATGAGTTTTTATCGCGAGGAAGAGTGTATTTAGATCCTGAAAATGTCAATAATTGTCTATATAAAACGTGTTGACCTAAATTAATAGATTTCAGTGAGTTCTTTTCAGGGTTCGTAGTTAGTTCTTTTAACGATAATATGATAAGTTTAACGATTAACATAGGACTAAACATGGCGTTCCAAAGTTTTTTATCAATATCGTCATAGGATTTGGAGCATAAATCATAAAGTTGAACGGAATCATTTCCTTTTCCAGGACATATGAATTGGTGGTAATTCTGCCAACTTAATCGTTTGCAATCTTGTGAGCAGTAATATTCCCATGAGCAATAATCACATTTTACATATTTAACGCTCGGCCAATAGGCCTAAGTTTATTTTTATTTTTTAATATAGATTAATTGAATGAATATAATACTTACTTTAACCTTTTTATCACATATTTTTTAAGCCTATAACTATAAATTAGACTTCAATAATAAGATTGTAACAATCCTATCTAAGTTTATATTAGGATAAAAAAAAATGATTACATAGCTTCACTAGATTTTCAGTTTACCGAAGCTCAATGGGTGCTCAAACTCTAAAATATAAACCAACATTTCTTTTAATTTATTTTTTTAGGGGGGGGGGGTGGCTTTTCGCCACTGCATAAATAATTGAGTTTTGGACATGTTTGCAAATATTTTATCTAATTTTAATCATAGGGTTTTTAAAAAAATTTTAAATATTTATTTAATTCAAACCTGTAATATGAATCTTTCATCTTCATCTAGTGTTCCCCAAATATCCCCATAATATTTTTCACATTTTAAAATAGATTTTGAACAATAGGAACAATATGTTTCAATAGAGGCTTTTGTTAAAAAGTTAGATTTAACAATATTATTATAAAAAAAATTAAATAAAATTTTTAAAAAAACTCACGATTATTTAAATTTGGACAGCTAACAAACGGAATTTCGCGAAGTATGGTGCTTCCTTTAGTTAGTATACCCTCTTTGGCATATATTCCTTTGCCCTTGATGCTAGTTCTGTATTTAAATTATTCAATTTGTTAATTTTTTTTCTTCCAAGATATGTAAGAAAGAGAAGAAAATAACCTAATATCGATGTCCAAACCTTTAGTCAATGGTAATAAATTAGTTTCTATAATAATATTTTGCCAAATTAAAAGCATTTCAATATTGAATTCCTCGTGCTTAGTGCTAATAAAATATTGCATAGACCAAGATTTAGCTAGATACACATATTTTAGTTTGATCAGAGATTGCACTTTAAAATATATATTATATGCAAATACATGGCGTGCAAAAAAAAATAACAAAAAAAATCTATTTTTATTACCTCCATATTCCCAAATTTGATCGGTTCTCAAATTTAAATCTGTGTTCAAGCAAATTTCGAATAAATCCAAAAATTTTCCATCATTATAATATTCTTGTATAGTCTCCTTCCTGAGAGGTTTCATATTATCAGGTGGATCATCAGCATTTTTATATTTGATTTTGAATAATTTTTCTAATGATTTATAATCTTTAGTAATTAATCTTTGTTCATCTCTATTGAAATATTCGTAAGGCATATCAAAAATATTCATAAGAATTATAGATGTAACAATGTTATTATCAATTAAATTTTTAACTTTTTATTTGTGTTTTTTATTTATAATTATTTTTTATAAGCATATGGTTTATATTTTAGTATATTGATTTCTTTTCATTTGTATTATTACATTAGATTTTTTTTATCATACTAATTTTTTTTCTTGAATTTTGTAAATTTAACGTATATTTTCTTTAAATACATAATAGAACCTACAACTGTAAAAAGTAGATGGATTCTTTTTTTTAAACTGAAAAAAAAAATTTATTAACAGCAGTTTCTAGAAGATAAACAATTTCTTTTACTGAGGTCGAAGATAAAGTGACAAAGATTCACTCATTACTCCTTCACTGGAAGAGAGTTAAATTAATTTAATCAACTAAAAAATTTTATAATAAAAAGTATGAGAGCTTTTATTCCGATCAAATTTTCATTAGATGGAGGTATATAAGATTTTAATCCAAAGGGAAGGTAGTGGGAGGGGGACTTTTAAATATAGGAATTAAATTAATAATCAGTCATAATTTTGAAACAACAAATTCTAGTAAATGTTTTATTTTAATTAGAATAATTTAAAAAATCAAATCATATGTAGGAAAAAAAGCATTACTTATAAAATCCATATATTTTATTCTTTCTTAATGTTTTTTCAAATAAACAGACGAAGCAAATTTTCCAAAATGTTTGACCGTTGTTTTATTCTTTACATATATCCTTGCTATAGATTAATATCTAACAAATAAAATCTTCTAGAAAATTTTAACCAATGAAAATTTAAGAATTATGAAAAACACCCGGGATACCTTTTAAACTTTCCGTTGCACGTCATAGTACTTCTTTATTTTTAAAAATAATTTTATATAAAAATGTATCCTAATTACATAAGTAAAATAAATGGTCAAATATTAAATTTATAGGTTTATCTATATTATATATATCACCCAAAAATACTTGTTATCACTTAAAACTCTCATATAATTTCCAAAAATAATTCAATCATCTTCATATTGTTATTCGTGACCCTAGATAAACTCATGGCAATGTTCTTATAAATATAGTTGGATTTGAAATAATTCCTACTTAAAAATGGCTAATATGCACCCCGCCAAAACATGCCCCAGGTCTTCACATTAAAATTTAATTTCAAGATACTAAATTACCATATATATTCTTAATATTTTTACATGAAAATTGTGGATACCTTATCATTTAGAATTGATATTTAGTCTCACATTTTTATAAAAAAATTTTATTAGAAATGAAAAAAATTAAAAAGTTACTTTTGATGTGTTAAATTAAAATTTGCATTTATTCATGAGCATATTTCTGCGAAAATTTCTAGAACCTTAGAAATATCTTATTAAAATACATTTACTGTTAAAATTTCAAATATCCAAGTTAAGTAATTTTAAAATTATTTGAGAATAAATTATCTGCTCCTGTATAACATTATCACCGGTTTCCCCTAGGTATAATTTATAAACTAAAAAAATATATGTCGTATTGGAATATGGAATCCGTGGGGATTTTGAATCTAGGGCGATTTTTACAAAATCCTGTTAATTGAGATTGATTTTTTTATATGTATTTAAATTCGTTTAACTTAAATTGCTATTATTTGAACATAACCTATTAAATATGTTAGCCTGTAACTTTGTTTTTCGCTTAAATTGTTTTTTTTATAATACATTATATATATATATATACCCTATTTTATATTCAATTTTTTAGTTATTTTTAGTTAGTATATTTTATAAAAGTAAATTTAAAATAAAGAAATTTTTATTTAACGTTTTCTAATTTTTTCCACCATATTATCCCATATGACCTTAAATGTATTCTAGAAATTGTAGAGTACCTACCCTATAAATTTCAGACAATTTTTTGGATACACATTTGCTTATTTTTAATATATATGAAAAAATAAAAATCAATATAAATATGTGTAGCACTAAAGTTCACGATAAAACTGTTTGAATTTACAGTGTGGGTACTCTATACATGCTGAAATACATTTGCAATTAAATCAGATTTGTCAAAAATAAAAATAACCCCCAGTAAATTATCAAGAATTGAGAGATTCCAAGTCCTAGTATGACATATATAATATGTAAGAAAAAACATTAAAAATAATTATATGCCGAAATTTTTCTTTATCTAACGGGCGTAAACACATGTAATGGGAATACAATGGGCATACTTATAATCCAATTTTTTGTCGAATATAGAAGGTTTCCGCAGCTATTTTAGGGTTATAGGAAATATTTCTACCGAATATTTTTAGAACTTCTGATTTGAAGTTTTGTATTTCATATCTCAAAATTCCATTTATAAATAAAAAAAAATATTTAGATATGCATCACTGTTAGTCTCCATTTCATATTGATTTAATTTATTTAAATTATTTATAGTCGATTTACTATTTATTTCTTGCTACTTTTTCTGCAGTCCTTAGGCAATGCTAAACTAAAGTAAACTCTAGGTATAGCCCTAGACAACAGCATGAAAAAATTTTGAGGGTGGTTTAATAGAAATAAACAAGTAGGTTTTGCATCGGTTGTCGACAATTTAAAAAGTTTATAAGATAATTACCTATAAATTTGTGGATAAGAATAAGGTAAATAACTTCCAAAAGTGATTGTATAATGCAAATACTATTTTTTTTTGACTGATTAAAAAGTAAAAAAATAAACATCATAAACGCCTCTAGGAAAATAAACACCTTAATCCTAGCTAAACTGTTGCATTTTTGCGTTACAAAATAATGCATTATGCTAATCGTAAACAAAAATAATGTTTTATTAAAATTATTAAGTTATTATTTAGATCCCCGTCTATGTAAATGAGTAAAAAACGCGTGATAATTGTAGATTTTTTCATACTTTAAGAGTTTTAACAAGTGGGATGTAGAACTTCTTATTTTTCGCTTGGGAGACTATGTAAATGTTGATTAAAGAAAAAGGATATATAAGGGAGAAATTATGATGCGAAAATTAATTATTTTTTTGTTTAACTTAGATTTTAATTTTTACTTTTTTACTTTTATTTTTTCTTATATTAATTTTATTTTTCTTTTATTTTGATTATGTTTTTCACTTTGTATTTGATTATAGTTATTTATTGAATAAAGTTCTGATTCCCAATATCAAATCTTCAAATTGTGACAACAAAATAATTTAAATATTTTCCGAGACCCGAGTCAAATATGAATAAAAATTTTTAGGTTAGGCCTCGTCTATGTCCATAACCTCTTATTTTACACGGTATTAATATAGCTATTTTAAGCGTTTAAAAAAATTATTAATGTAGAGTATATAATTTTTTAAATGTAATTAAATTTTATAAAATGGCAAAAGAATCTGCCCTAAAAAACTTTTTTACTATAAATAATAATTATTTTAAATTAGCAAGAAAGCGACTGAGTAGGGTTATAAATATTTATATCAGTAATAATAATAAATGATCAAGTTTGAATAAGATAGTATAAAATTAATTGGTTCTAAAAAATGAACCCACAAAGAAGATTAGTGCGATTTTAAAAATAAATAAAATAAGTTATTAATGGTAATTTACAATATATTTTATTGAGATGCAAATATATTTCGGGAAATTTGACGGGGGGGGGGGATTTCCACTGAGAACTATGAATTTGGGGAAAAGGGAAAATTGTGGAAATAACAGAAAATTGAAAAATTAAGGTAAAATATCTACACTTGAACATTTTAATTTTCAATGAATAATTATCAATTAATAGCAAGCAAGAGTCATATATTATTTGTTGTGATAATATTTATTGACTTCCCTAAAATTGCATCATCGTCACTTGAAAAATATGAAGTGTAAACAGTTAAGTTTTATTAAAATTTAAGTATGATGCTCAAATGAAAGCAATAACTGAATAGGTTGATTCAATCTTTTTTTGTAGGTTTTAGAGAGAATAGTCCTAATTCCTTTTTATTTTATAGGTTTTAGAAGGAATAGTCCAAAATGACTAATAGACATAACTACGCAGAGCATCGAAAATTTTTTATAAATAGCGTATAAAAGATTGATCTGAATCTGAGACAATCTCATGATAAATTTGGTATGAAATACTGTTGACTACCTTTAACGTCAATGAGATAACAATTTATTATTTGATTTAAAGGAAAATTTAATTTCGTAGTAAATTCTTGCTTATAATAATTGGCATAAATATATATAATTAAGTTTTTATTGTAATTTTCTAGAAAAGGGTAAAGGTTGCATGAAGAAATAAAGATATTAGCTATAAAAATACTTTGTTGCCCATTTTGATTTTAGGCCAATCAGAAAAACCAATCGAAATTCCATAATAAATATATTGTGTTCTCATAAATTATTTAAAAATAATAAGGGAGAAAATATATTCTTTTATAGAAAAGAAAGCTTCCGATCGGATAATTAGCTAAAAAAAGACTTGATTTGACTAAATTTTGGAATTAACATTTTTATAGTAAAATTAAATAATGACAATATTTTTATCGTCGTGATAAAATTTATAAAACAAAAAGTTACCTAGGCAGCGTCTACATGAGCGGGAGGGGTAGGAACAGTTTGCATCCTATTTTTTTGAGGGGGTAAGGGGTAAGCTGCTTTAATGGGGGTAGGATAATATTTTTGGGGGTTTATCTATTATTGAGATGAAATAGGACAAAATTTATTGCTGTAAAAATTAATGCTTTTATTATAGTATTATTATAATACAATTCATCGACCAAATCTATGCAAACAATCATTCACACTGTTTTCCAAATAAACTATCCTTTTAAATGTAATTTAAAATGTTTAGACATGCTCATAATGCCATAATAATAAATTCATTGTAAATAATGGAGGTTTTAATTGAATTTATTATCTAAAAAATAAATTCTTTATATTCATAAAATACGATAGTTGGTAGTAGAGATAGATTAATTTAAGTTATCCTTTATAAATTCTTTGAAAAGAGTATCAATAAATAAATAGGTGAAAATAGTGATAAAGAGACACATCTTGGCGGCAGGAATTTTTAAGGGGGGGGTAGGCAAAGGTTTTTGAAGGGGGTTTGCATTCAGTGAAAATCTTGTCATGTAGACGCTGTACCGAGGTTATGTCAATACTAATAATAAATTGTAAAATTATATCTCAAAAGAACATTTTGCTATGACAGTATTAATTTAAAATAATCTGATCAAAATATACGCCTACTTTATAAAATTTACATTATATATATCCTAAAATGATCTTTGCCTATCAAATTTTTAAATATTTTTTATTTGTATAGTCATAGTTTAGTATAATGATTTTAGACATTTAAAAATACATGTACTTTTGCCACTCACTCATAAATTTAAATTTCATTTTTATGCAAAGTTTATTTTTAAGTCATTGCTTAAAATATGCCTTTTTATCAAAAATAAAATCTCCTAATCAAAGTACAGATAAAAATACAATTAAAAATGGTCCACTTGGAGTTATGATGCTTAATAATATTTTTTTTGAATGGTTGATACTAATTATTATATTAAATTACTAGTTATAATAGGAAAAAATTTGTTATTGAGAAAGAATCTAACATGTTTATTTTAGAAATGACAAATAATATAACAGAAAATGATGTTAAAGGTATTAACATTTCTTTATACTGTTTTCATCAATATAAGGACTGTGAATACAATTTGTATGATATATATTTAAATTAAAGGTTTCCATTACCTAACCAAGATTAAACAACTTGTACAAGATATTTAATAGTTGGTTTAGGGTTTCACAATATTTTTTAAAGCTTGGAAATAGGCAATTATATGTCTTTCCTTCATAAATAATATATTGTATAAAAATATTTTATATGCTTGGCTGAAAAACATTTTCAAAAATCTTCATTGCCTAGTTCAGGTTGGGTCATGCATGAGAATCTCTAATTTAGATATAATAGATAGTTGATTATAGTGTTGTTAAATGGCTCATTTTGAGCCGATTTTTAAAAACGGTTAACTTAATATTTCATTCAGAAAAATAGTGCCTAAGCCTCGAGATTTCGATAATCGTAATATTACGCAAGCCTGAAGATTTTGCTCATTGAAGGAACAAAGGTCTATACATATATTTCATTCAGAAAAATAGTGCCTAAGCCTCGAGATTTCGATAATATATGTATAGACCTTTGTTCCTTCAATGAGCAAAATCTTCAAGCTTGCGTAATATTACGATTATCGAAATCTCGAGGCTTAGGCACTATTTTTCTGAATGAAATATTAAGTTAGCCGTTTTTAAAAATCGGCTCAAAATGAGCCATTTAACAACACTAGTTGATTAAATTTAGTAATTCTTAACTTTTATGAACTTATTTATTTTCTATAAAATCTCAGAACAATTATATCATTTTGAACAAACTCAATTTCCCAATCATATTCAATCATCATTTGGGTTGTGTAATATATTCCAATCAAAAAATCAAGAATTTACTCGTGATATATTAAAGTATAAAAAGAAATATTTTATTTCTTAAGTAAATTTTTTAATAATTTTATTTAGATTATTTATCAAATAAAAATTAAGAATTTGTTTTAATATTAGGTCATACTATCCTTAATCTAATACATTATTAATATAATTTTTTAAAGAATCCAAACCAACATGACTTTTTGTATAAATTATTTTTGTGAAGAAAAATTGTTGAAGCATTATTTAGAATATTGGAAGGCTAAAAGAATGGCATGGTGGAATCAAGTATAACATATTGTCAATAAATAATACTATAAAACATTCTAATTCTCATTAGAAGGGGTAGAAACATACATGGACACCCACAGCTAAAGACTTTTATGGGATATAACCTCATCAATATAATATTGACCTTACACATGGCCTGAAAAATATTAATGCTATATTTCTTTCCTATTTTCCCCTTTTGCATGATTGTATACAACCCCATAGTTATCGAGAAAAATTTTTTCAGCCTGCAATGGTGTCTAAATTTATTTCTAACAGTTTATGAAAAAATCCAACAAAAATAACAGCTCTCAAATTAACTCCCCCCCCCCTCAACTGAAGCTTTCTATGGGCCTGATTGTATATCAATTATAAAATAAATAAAAAATCAAGAATAAATGTTCATATCACTTGCTATAGATAGAATAGAATAAACTTTAAATCTTTCTATGTTTATTGCTGAATATTTCAATACTTAACATTAAAATAAATGAATATTTTTAGTTTAAAATATACCTAATTCCTTAGTAATAAGTTCAGCAAAGCTTAAATTTAAAGTTTTTTTTTAAATTGGGCTTGGAATTAATTTTTTAGCCACAAAGTAGTTCTTAGCATAAGAATCCTATACTGGATCTTTTTTTTGAGTCTGGTCAGATGTTTTAGAAGAAAATGCAAGCCCAGTCTGAAAAAATTTGATTTATTTTGTACACAAATCTGGTCCAACCACTCAAAAATTGGAAATTTTTTATTAGGTTTAAGTCCACCAGATATGATTTCTGACACATTGGATTGGGATATATACAAAAAGTTAAAATTAATTTAAATAGTTTTTCCTTGTGTTTGTGTATTAATATTTTATCCCGCGAAAATTCAAAGTAGGAATTCTTACATTTTTTAAAATCTTAAATACTAATGGATAAAAATTTTATTAGCCAAATTTTTGATTTATTTGCACTAATAACTATGATTAGAAAAAATTTCTAGAATATATGAAAGGTTCAGAATATCCAAAGGTACAGAATTTGGTGAATAGAATTTTTTCTGAGACTTCATATGAAACGAAAAAAGAAAATGCAAAAAGTCTGCCCAAAATGAACCTTCGAAATCAAGCGTTACAGTATTTGAAGAAGCAATTTTGATTGCCCTTTAATTAATATCGGAATAACTTGAACAAGATATTTAATCTGAAGGTTACACAGCAGTTTTATGCAGGGACCCGAAACAAAGCCATTTTTGCGTTCCCATTCCGGTTTCGGTTAAGAAAAATTGTTCCGTTCTACCTTTCGGAACGTTCCGGAAAGTTCCTAGAAAAATATCTATATATATTTTTTAAAATCTACACATTTTAATTCAATATTTTGATTTATCTGAACCATCTGCTCAAAATCATTTTTTAGTTGATTGAATATCATCCTTTTTGTTAGTTTTACTATGTTTTTCTTTTTTATCATTGGACCTTAGAAGCATTTCTAAATCGTCATATTCTTGTCTTTCAGAAGATGCATCCGAATTACTTATTATTTTTAAATCTTCATCCTTGAAATTTTAAATATGTTTCCATGTCTCTAATAAATGATTTATGGCCATATTATTTTCCTCTTCGTTCAAAAGAGATTTAAACCTAGGTTACAGATATAAGACAGAATAAAGTAATTAATTTATTACCATTTTTTCCCTTTTGTTGAGAGCTGAAATCATGCCTTGTGATAATAGGGAATCAATTTTTTGAAGTTTTATTTTACATTTGGTCCATTGATCTATAAAGTCACCTAGAAAAATGCTCACTTTTTGGAACTAAGTTTGCTTAACGCCTTTAATGAGGCCTCAACAGTTTTTCAATCTTCACCGGAGAAAAATTTTTAGGGTGTACCATTTGTAAGGATTAAGAAAATATAAAGAACTCAATATATGGACCTGTTAGATGGATTAAAATTTTTTATTTTTTTAATTATAGAAAGAAATAAGAAATTTATGTATAATTTCAGGAAGGTTCCTGAATGCACATTCCGATTCCGTTCCATGTCCCTGGTTTGATAAAATATTTTTCAAGAAAATGATATGGATTTGGTTGAGCTGTGATAATCGCGAATATTATTATATTATAACTTAGAAAACTGATATAATATCGATCAATATTTTTACGAGATTTGTGTGATTTTCGTGATAAAGAAGAAATTATATGATTTTGAAATTCGCAAGCCTCGACTTGCACTAAGACTAACAATTCATTTTTATATTAACATGGACTCAATTGAGGATTACTATAAAATAACCGTTATTATTTCACTTTTGGATACATTTTACAAATCAATCAACGATTTGTAGAAATCTCTCTGAGGATTAAATCTTGATATTGTAAAATTAAATATTTAGAACCATTTTATTCAGAGAATATAAATGTATTTGAAGACCAATTAATTTCGGAATTTAAATATTGGGATGAAAGATTAATATTCTCCAAGAACCCATGGAAGCATTGCATACTTTAAATTAGATTTTGAGTTTTTCTAAATATATTAAAATTACTGAATATTTTATCAACAATTACAATTAGTACAAGCATAAATGAGAGGACCTTTTCTTTTTCTGAGAATAAAAACATCTCTCGGAAACACGGCATCCGAAAATTGATTCAATGAACCAGTTCTGCTTAATATACATAGTTTTAATCCCCAATACAGAACAATAGCTTGAAGGATATTTGGATTAATTTAAATCAATATAATAACGTTTAATTCTATAATTTATCGTGGCTTTAACCTGTTTTTATAACTTTAAATATTTTTTTAAGCAATATTATATTCGCTCTTAAATATTTTTTTATTTTCCAATATTTTATTATTTATGTACGAAATTGTCATTTTTTAAAATATGATTTTCTACAATAAATTAAATGATTAGTTTTTTAATAAATTTTTTATGTTCCAAAAAAAAAACTATTTAAATATAAAATGTTGAAAAATATAAAAACTTTTTTAAAATGAAATATTTAGAACTAAGATAAGAAAATTTAAAATATAGATTTCTGCAAAACAAATGCTCTTATAAAATAACCGGCATATAGCCTCGAGGCAGAGGATATTTCTTAGCTAAAACCTCGGATTCGCTTTTTTTGAAATAGTCAGAAAAGGCTAAAAATGAAACTATCACATGACTCATCTATTATGAATCACTCTGAAATAATAAATGTGTTTTTAAAAAAAATTTATACAAAAAGATTGATTTTTTTTTGAAGATTTGTAAGAATTACAATTGGAAAAATGACCCAATTTTCTAATATATAAATGATATTTTGTAAATGTAAATATTATAGATTAATATAATAAGGAGAAATATTCTTGAGAATTATATTTTTCAAACCTGTTATGGTTTAAAAAAAAATTGAATTCGAACCCCGTTTGATTTATCACCTGATTTAAGCAAGGTCAAAAAAAATCTTTAAAATCTGGGGTTTGAAGCAGAGCCCTACTGATTAAATTTTTAGATCGAACCCGACCCGAATTTTTCATTTTAAAAAAAATGTAAATTACATTCGGGTTTCTGGGCGACTTGAGGAGTGCTCTAACTTAAAGATAATTTTAAAATTCAAATCTTTGACCTCTACAAATATATTAGATAGCATGGCAAAATCAATTTGTTTTTAATATTTGTTTAGTATATGCACACACCTTCGAATATCGATTATAAGCACATGTCCAAATATAAAAGTTCTAGTGAGGCACCTGACGGGAACTCTGACTCAAGGCTCGGTTATTACATTGCTTATAAAGAAAAACAAGCGAATACGGAAAAAATTGTAGAAAATATTGAACACAAAGGCAAATACGTATTAAAATTAAAGGTATGTATATAATAATAAAATATGCAATAAATCCTTTTAAAAATAAATTGTTTCAAGAGATTAGAATAATTCTCTATAAGGAATTGACAATTTTAGGTTTTTATCATTATTTAAAAAATAAAATATAATTTTGCTTAAATATTTTATAAAATAAAACAGTTTTTATTACTTAATTCAAAATTGAAATTTCCATTTTATAATTATTTAAAACACTTACTAACTTAAAAAAATATTGTAATTTTTTTCTTCTAATAATATTAAATTTTAGTATTGCAAACAAAATGATTGCTTAAATACACTAAAATAATGTTTAATTTCATTAAATACAATTAATTTTTTAATAGAACTTGGGAAAATATTTTGAAACTTAATATGGGCCTGAGAATTTTTTTTAATATTAAAAATGGGCCGGGTCTCTTCCTAAAAATATTTTTACTGCGGGCCTGAGCAAGGCCTGATCAAAAAAATTAAGACCCCATCTCGGTGTCCAATTTTTATTTAAAATAATTTTCATTTTAAAAAATAATAAAGTTGATTGACGTTTTGACATTTTTCAAAAAAATAGAACACTGATTAGAGGTCTGCAATGGCGTATTTTAACCCGAATACCCATCCACCCTTCGTTTTAAAAAATCTAAATCGCCCACTCACCCACCCATGTTTAAACTCTTTTAGAAAGGGCGGGCGTGGGCGGAAAATTGACCTCTAACACTGATCGGACTGTGCTGGGCTTAAAAATAATGCATGAAACAAATTGTTCAGCCCGAATTTTATTAGCGCGTCTAGTACAAGGTTTTTTTATAAAAAATTTCATACCAGTTCGAAAAAATATTTTGCATAAATTTCCCTGCCCCGTCAAAAAAATATTAATTAAAGACATAATTATAATTGTCCATTAAATTTCAATTTTATTTAAAATCTAGAATAAATCTCAGATGGTTCATGCTATTCAAATTACAAACTATTTAGATACTTGTTTGAATGTATTTCTTGATGATGCATTTTTGGAGAAGAATTCAAATAAATATTTAAATTCCCATCCTGATCAGGTTCATTTTTTGAATTTACACCTAAAAACCATTATTACTATGATTTATTTGAGCAAAAAAATCTTTGAAAATCACAAAATTGAAATTTTTTTAATAGGATCAGAATCAATTTTTAAAAAATGAAGGATTTTTTATGGGGTAATTAATTTGTGTATATGGTATTAAATATATTTATTAATATATTTTATAAAAATATTAAAATTTAGGAGAAAATGAGATAAATTTGTGAATCACACCTCATAATACAAAGCAACATCAAGACTTTCTAATAAATATCATCCATCTGCCATAAACTTCCTTATCCAAATCAATTGGTTCCAACATTTAAAATAAAAATAACTAAAAATCACATCTCTCTTTTTTGTTTGGGAGCTTTGGCTCATTTTTTATTCTGAATCTTGGCACCTTGATTATTTGTAACTTCCTTCACCAAATTAACTACATTTTCCTTATTATATCTGGGGGATATAATTGAAGTTATTAGGTATTTCAGAAGACATAATGAATAGCAATTATTTCTCTATTACATTCTTATTTTTTTTAAAAGGGGCAAAATAGGCATAAAATCGAGCCTGGCCTGTGGCAGACTTTGTAGATTTCTAGTCAACACATTCAACTTTAATTAATACTTAAAATGATAATTCACCCTCATAACTTTAATTATTTTTTTAGCCTGCATTATAAACCAAGAATAAATTTTTTTTAAAATATTGTTATACAAATTTTCTAAACTGACAAGAAATGTGATTTTAATTTATTTTTCCATTTCACTCCACAAAATAAAGCCAAAGTATATAACATCTATGATTATGTTTAAATCTGCCTTTGTGTTAGATCTAACAGGCTTCAAATTACATCTTTGGCATTCATGGCAATTTTTATTTACATTTTTGTACAAAATCTTAGATAGAAAAAGGCACATTTTACACTACCTGTTATACTATATGCAACAAGAAATGAGCCAAAATAATATAATATAAGCCTCGAGAATTAACAAATAGAGGTCAAACCTTTCTGCCATCTATGAGAAAAATCTCCAGGCTTACATAATATTATTTGGCTAAAATCTTAATAGGGTCGTTTTTAAAAATCAACCCGAATTGGGATCTTTAACAACCCTAGAATTACATTCACCTAGTGTTGTTAAATGACTCGATTTCGCCAATTTTTGAAAACAGTTCAAGATTTTTGAAAGTAAATTACCCAAGCTTATTGATTTTGCCCACAGATGGCAAAAAGGTTTGAACTTCTATTTGTAATATTTCTAGTTAAGTAATTTTGGCGAAAATCTTGATTTAGCCCTTTTTTAAAATCGGCTAAATAGGGCTATTTAAACAACAAAACATTCATCCATTAACATTGCAAATATTTTAAATGAGATTATTAACCTTTGGTGAATAAAAAAACAAAATACACTTAATTTGTGAAATTTAGTTTTTTTAAAATAGAAAATATTAATATTTTTATGATATTGGTTCAAAGATAGTAAATAAAAATCAATATAAATATTGGATCAGGTTTTTATTAATATCAGATTGGATTGGCACAGTCCTAAGTATTAGCCCTCTAAATCCATTTTCTAAGAATAGATATTGATGTATTGGCAAAAATATTTTTTAAAAATTTGTTTTTGTTTAAATCATTTTTTCGTTATTAATTTATGTGGGGGGAATTAGTGTTTTAACAAAAACTTTTGATTCAGCCTTAAGGTTTAAGATGTTGAAAAAATCACCTCAGTCCTGAAGTTAAATGATCAAAATTCTTAATATGTTGAAATTTCAAATAATCTTACTTATATTATATTTTTTATATTAGAATTTATATATGTGTGTCAATGGGTGAATTTTTCAACTGTAAAACATTTTTGAGCTTTTTTTTAAATTGAAAATCTCGATATTACCAGCCAGCATGTTAAGAAAACCTACTCCATGATTTTTAGAAAATTTAATGAACTTTTGAGCCTAATATAATTTAATTATATTAGTTTTCCCCAGTGTTGTTAAACGCTACTTTTAAAAGTAGCGCGCTATCGCTACCGCTACCGTTTTCAAATGAGTAGCGCGCTATTAGCTACTTTTTACGCTACCTTGATTTTTTTTTTAAATATTTTTTTTTACGTAACTTTATTTCCACAAATAAAATATTGATATAAAAACATGACTATAATTTGTTACATATATATATATAATTTATTTATTATTGCATTTTAATAATAATAACATTTTGGTACTGTCATCCCCAAGTCTAGAGCGACGGTCAGAAAGTATAAGCTTTGCCATACTAAATAATCGTTCAGCATTAGCACTTGAGGGCAACGCAGTATTAAATTTAATAAACAAACTTTTTATATGAAAAAAATCATCAAAAATATTTAAATTAGTATTTTTAGATTTAAAAAAAGCATCTAGAGGTTCAATAATATTATTATTATTTATTTCAAAAAAATCGTCTATGGAAGGCTGCGGTTTCGATCTTGCTATAGTATCGTGGTTAGGCATGCCATTTTTTAACGTTACCATCAGCCTATCAAGTTGCCCTTTAGATTTAGTCAAATTGGCCAATTTAACTTGAAACTAGGTCTTGAATTTTGGGAAAGGATCATCTATATTTTGCTCATTTTCCAAAGAAATTTCAATATCTTCAACAATCTCACACATAACAAGATTTATAATGCTTAATATAAAATGTAAAATGAAATATAAAATAAGATAAAAGCAAGGACATACCAATAACGGAATTTCAAAAATATATAATTTAATGAATGCGCGAAATATAAATTTAATACAGATTGCTATTTAACAACTGTTTATATCTAATATATAACATTAATGTATATTTTTAAATATAAATTTCAAAATTAAATTAAAAAAAAGGATTATAATTTTAGATTTTATAAAAAATATATTTTAATAATTTTTAGATAGAATTAGTAGCGAGCTACCGCTATCGCTATTTTTTTAAAAAAGTAGCGCGCTATTTTAACAACACTGGTTCCCATATGTATTTTTTTATAAATGATTTATATTTAATGGCAAAATTGTCTGAAATTCATAGGGTAGGCATTCTAAAAGTGCTGGAATACACTAAAAATCAGATTTTTAAATTTAGAAGAATGTTAGATAAAATTTATTTAAAAATAGCACATTGAGGCTAACAAGTATATGAAATACTCTATTTTTTAATTACAGGTTATGAAAATACATCCCAAGATTGCACCTTTTAAAGTTGTGTTATTAGTTGAAAATAATAATTTAAAAAAAGAATTAATAGAAATTGCAAATCACGTAAAGGATCAGTTGCTCAAAATTTGTGTAACCATTTTTGATCCATTGCTTTATGATGAAAAAACAAAAGAGGCACAGATATCTTTGTATAGATTATTTCATTTAAATATATAATTATTTTTGAATAAAGTTGTGATAGCATTGGAGTTCCTTATAATATTATTATAGAAGAATCGTGTCTTCAAAATGGAATAGCTTCAATAAGAAATAGAGACACCACAGTATTGGTAAATATAACTATAATAAAATTTATCTACATTTGTTTTTAGCAAGACATCCACATAACAGAAATTTGTAAATTTATGAATCTTCATCTCAATGTATATTAAATCATATGTAATAAAATTATACAAATAAAATTTTATTGCCATTCATATTTATATATAATTATCTAAAAGGTATAAAAATATATAAGGAAGAAAGACATATAATTAAAAAGTAACTAAGTTGTCAATCAAATTATATAATAGAAATTGGTAAAAAAATTTTGTATAATCAAGAACTTCAAATTAATATTAAATTACATATATAAAAATTCAATGTTTCAATTAAGCAGGTAGTTTCAAATTTTTTCCTTTAAGAACTATTGTAAAATAATAAATAATTGAAAATTTTAAAATCAAATACCTTTGGTTATATAAAGATAGAAGAAATCACAATATAAAATAGTTTGTACACATCCAGCAACTATTGCTATTAGATCACGATAACCTTCAAAATGATATCTATATATCCAGTTGAGTATATATAAGGCCCTGTATGAGCCCAGTGCAAAGAGATAGTGACTGGTTATGGTTTCAGCCTCACCTAATTTCAAGAATATTATAGAAATATAAAAACAATTATACCTGTTTTACTGACCATAAATAATTGAGGTAAAATGGCCACTGATTCAAGATAAATTGAAAAAGTCCATAATATCTACCAAAATTATTAAAATATGTTTTAAGAACATGTTACTTCTAGTAAAGAAAAATCATGATTAATAAGAATTGCTAACACAAGTGACGGAATAATTAGGGATTCAATTCGAAATGTATCATGGTTTCTATCATAAGTAGCTTTAAACTATTATGTATTTAAATTAGCAATTAAATAAATTTGGTAACTTTAAAATAAATTAGATATATTGTCGCATAAGATGCAACTAAGAATATGACCTTCATAGTTGAATTATACACAGAAACATATGTTAAAAATAAATCAACATATCTTGTGGTATAAGTCAAAGCAAATAAAAGCTGTGATTTGCCAGATATTCCTATATACATTTACTTTGATAAAGAAAATTATAATTTTTACCAGAACAAGACCTCGTTTTCCATATTTTTACAAGTAATATTATAATCGCTAATAAGTGGGATAAATCGCCAGTTAAACGAAAAACATTCATATTTGTTCAAAATATAAGCATCCAAAAACACGTGGCATCAACAACCTTTTCTATAAATGTTAAACATAAATCACGAATAATTCAAAGATCAACAACTTTATTATAACTTACTTAAATTAATTAGCAATTTATTTTTAAATTGACTTATACCTATTATTTAGATCTGTATTCTTAGATAATTCCCTTCAAATTGAAAGTCTTTTTGCGTCTTAAAGAAAGGGTGGAGGAGTGGGGTAGTGGAAATTTGCCTTATATATAGGGATAGGCCTTTTATTTTAAAATATCAATGTTAGCGTTAACTCTTAGATAAAAAAATTAAGTTATAATTACTGCAGACCATAGGCGTTGTTATCGTTAGGGGCACTGTCTTAAATATATTGAAATGGTTATTTGCATACAGCCATATAAACTTTGGTAAGCTCACTTATGGATTTTAATAGACTTAAAAGGGTGTAGGAGAGCCTTTATTGGAATTTATTAATAAATTTACTTTACTATGGATACAATGTAATCATGAGAAGTATATTGTTGTTGTCTTTGATACGAAGTTGAGGGATCAATGTCTGGTATAGATGTATGTATTATTTCTTTATAGTTTTTTTAATGATATATATAAAATCAAATCAATTCATGAATAATATTTAATTCAGGGATGTGAACTCTTCGACAAAAAAAAAGGGTCCGAGTCAGGTTTCAGGAATAAATTTTTTTAAAAAGTGTGTAAGTTTTGCAGTTGCAGAAATGTAGAAATTACATGTTTTTTAATTGCAAAACCTTAATAACATTACCATTATAATAAAATATAATTGCATGCACTACAAAACATGGATAGATTTTGCTAGAAGGGTGGGGTGACTCAGTGGCGTCACTAGGGGGCGCAGGGGCTCAAACTTCCTAGAAAATACATATAGAAATTGACACTGTAATTCTACCTACCGAGAAGGGTTTAACTCTGTTGGCGGCTTCTCCCCCTGAAAAAAATTTTTTTTAGTGGCTCTTTAATATCCCCTTGAATTAAAAGTAAATTTTTTTCATTGCCCCTAAAACGATTTTATTTATAATTCTATTAAATAATACATGGATTTAATTATATAAAAATTAATAAGACTATCTAAATTTTTATCAAATGAATACTATTTTAACTATTAGATTAGATTAATACATATAAATTATATTTAGAATATCAATATTACTCACTAAATATTAATTTAGCATTAACAGTTGAACCTTAATTGACTTTTATTTTTTAAATTATTATATAACCCTAATTAAATAATTATAATCATTTATTAATTGAAAATTATTATATAACCCTAATTAAATAATTATAATCATTTATTAATTGAAAATTAACAAATTTAATATTGTAATTAGCCGAGTTCAAAATTACTAATCAACTAAATTATTTATTTTTAAATTTAATAACCATGCCTCTTCCTAAAAATATTTTAAAGGTCCAGGGGCGTCGCTAGCTTTTACAATTTCAGGGGGCTCAACCCGGCCTTCGGCTCGCTTTTGTCCGGCCTTCGGCCGGGTTTTATATTAATATATTATACTTTCTTAAAATTTGCTAACTTTAAACAATTATTCCGAATTTCATATTTTGTCATTTATTATATTTTGCATACAAAATAAACTAGCATATAAATAATTAAAACAATACAAGACATTTTTAAAAATAATATTTTTTAATACAAAATCTATTTATTACAATATAAAATATTTTCGATAGCTGATATAAAAAAATTTTGCATCTGAGGAATTACAAGATAAAAAAAAAAGGTTAATTAATTCATATCATACATATGCATCAATTGATAATGGTTTTTAAGAACCACATAATATAATATAATTCTTACCATTTTACATTGACAAAAGGTCATGAAACTAATATAACCTTCTGTTATCATTTTAGACAATGTTTTATAGAATGAACTAATAAGGAAAAATTTATAGACCTTACCAAATCAATAATTCTTGAAGAAGAGAATATAAACGACCAATCCAAATAATAAACCTATATAGTGGTTAGAGCTTCCTCTTAGATAATATGATGGAAGCTAGATAAATAATCGAGAAAATATTGTGAGATATTAAATTTCCAAAAGATTATCTTCCATTTTTAATAATATATAAAAGACTACACTACACAGTTGACCATTATTGCTTATCTAAAATATGCAATCATGCTGTATTAATAATCATAAATTACATAGCCATAATAGATGCTGGTTAATTTGCAGTCATTGCCATGACACTCACGATGGTAACCCATATCAGAATTTATTATGTAAATTGATAAAAAACACTAAAAATCTTTAGAAGAAATTATGCAAATATATTGAAGCCTTGAGTTATTTACACGGCAAGGATGCCATATTAGTAATAAAACATTTTGTAACTATAAAATAAGAACCAGAGTGATATCATGAAAGCATTTAGATTTTATATATTATTGTAGCATCACCTCTAGTTGGTATATTTTATCTTAAAATAATAGTAGTTTGTAATTATATCAAAAATATATTCGTATTAAAAATTTAACTCATAACTTTCTTAAAAACACATAAAATAAGAGAAGAAAATATATCTAATTTATTATATCCATTGTGGGATAAATAATAGGACATTTAATTTTAATATTCTTATAAATATATAGATGGCGTTAAATAATTTAATACAAATTGTTACTTATATTTATATCAAAATCATTTATTAGTAAAATTTTAAAATATTATCTATAATATATTATATAACTGTCAAATACGTCTGTAAAAGTGGCATTTTACCTAATATTTTATAAATAATTTTATATTATAGAGGATTATAAACTATATGTCTACTATTTTATAAATAAATCTCTTATACTTATTTAGATTTGGACCTTGAAAATAATTTTAGGAAGAGACATGATAATTAAATTTAAAAATCAATAATATATGTGATTAGTGATTTTGAACTCGGCTAATACAATATTAAATTTGTTAATTTTCTATTAATAATAAATGATTATATATATTTAATTAGAGTTATATAATAATTTGAATAATAAAAGTCAATTAAGCTTCAACGGTTAATGCTAAATTAATATTTAGTGAGTGATATGATATATTTTTAACACAGAATTTGATTGCAAGCTGACATAGTGAAAATATAATTTATATGTATTAATCTAATCTAATAATTAAAATGGTATTCATTTAATAAAAGTTTAGATAGTCTTATTAATTCTTAAATAATAAAATTAATATATATTAGTCGATAGAATAATAAAAGAAATCGTTCAGAGGGCAATTAAAAAAATTTATTTTTAGTTCAAGGGGATATCAAGGAGCAATTTAAAAAAATTTTTTGCTTCAGAGGGCTATTCAAATTTTTCAGGAGGCTCGAGCCTCTTTCCTCCCCCCCCCAGTGACGCCACTGTAAAGGTCCAAACAATAAGAAAATTCTTTATAAAAAGTAAGTAGACATATAGTTTATAATCCTCTATTATATATAAGTGGTTATAAAATATTAGGTAAAATGCTATTTTCACATACGTATTTGACAGTTATACAATATATTACAGTTAATATTAATAAAAATTTATAATAAATGCTTTTGATAATAAATATAAGTAACAATTTGCATTCATTTTTTAACATCATCTATTTATTTAAAAATATTATTAAAAATTAGGCAAGTTATTATTCATCCCACTATGGATGTAATAAATTAGATTTATTTTCTTTTCTTTTTTTAAGTGTTTTTGAAAGCTATTTTTTTCTTTTTTGAAAAACAATTTGGATTTATTTTTCGAATTCAACTGGCGGAGTCGATAAATTTTGATCCTCTAGTTAAAATTTTAATACCAGTATATTTTTGATATTATTACAAACTACTATTATTTTAAGATATAATATATAAACTAGAGGTGATTCGACAACAATATATAAAATCTTAATTGCTTTCATCTGGTTCTTATTTTATAGTTACAAAATATTTCATTTCTAATATGGCATCCTTGCAGTGTAAATAACTCAAGACATCAATATATTTGCATATATTTTTCTAAAGATTTTTGGTGTTTATATTTTATCAATTTATCTAACATAATAAATTCTGATAGGATTTAACATCGTGAGTGTCATTCAATGATTATATCATTGATGTCATTGCTATGACTAGTGTTGTTAAACGGCTAAGCCGAGTCGACTTAACGAGCCTAGTTTCTAATAGATAAAACAAATATGAGCCGCATTGGTCGGCTCATTTAGTCGGCTCCCTTAGTCGGCTCGTGTATTTGACTCGTTGGGTCTGCTCAATTTTTTTGTTTTTTTATAAAATCTGGTAAATTGCTAAATTTTGGGAAACTGATTAATGTAAACAAAATTATAATAAGAATATGTTGTTTTTAAAGTTTTTCGAATTTTATTGACATAAATGGGCTAAAATAAGTATTGCTAACATGTTTAAATTTTTAGTGAAGATGTATAGATAAGTGACAATTGTCATAATCGTTAAATTTTTTCGATTTTTTTTGACGTAAATGGGCTAAAATAAGCATTGCTAACATGTTTAAATAAAATTTTAGTGAAGATGTATCCTAGATAAGTAACAATTGTCATAATCGTTGTTTTTAAAGTTTTTCGATTTTTTTTGACGTAAATGGGCCAAAATAAGCATTGCTAACATGTATAAATAAAATTTTAGTGAAGATGTACCATAGATAAGTGACAATTGTCATAATCGTTTTTTTTATAGTTTTTTGTCAATTTTTCTTAAACTTTCCTTTTTAATTTATTTCTAAATTTTTGCGATTTCTTTACGTTTTTTTTCTTACTGTATCTTTTCTCAATTTATTTCTAACTTTTTGCGATTTTCTTTACTTTTATTTTTCTTACTATATCTTCTCTCAATTTATATTTCTTCAATTTATAAATTTTAGTGTTGTTAAACGGCTCATTTTGAGTTGATTTTTTTAAAACGACTAACTCAATATTTTAACCAGAAAAATATTGTCTAAGCCTCGAGATTTCGATAATATATGCCAAGAGCCTTGCTCC